TTTGCTGGCTGTAGCAGCGCTATAGCGCTGCTATAGCGCTGCACAGCAAAAACGCATAAAAAACTAAGGAAATTTTGAAAATATTTTTTGACAAATGGCTGTTATTAGACGGCTGTCTCTACTATTAGCGGAGACGAAATTATTTATTTTAAAACTAATTCATAATCATCATTAAAACTGCTCGGAAAATCGATGTGATGATTCAATTCTGGCAGTGCTACTGGCATTTCTAGCTGATTAAAGTAGTTGCATTCTGTACCTCTCTGTTACAGCGCCAACAACAACATTTGAGCCGGAGGAGGCACAGATGCACCTTACCGAAGTAGAAGAAAAAATCTGGGAACTGAAGCGCGAAGACGAGCAGCAGCGAGCTGCTTTTGCTTTGTCCAACGGCCTGGAATCTGATGACTAGTGCTGCTACAATTTCCAGCTAATGTTTCTACGGTAGAGTAGCTGTGAATGACTGTGCGATTTTTCGAAAGCAAGGCTTGTTTTTTCTTCCAAGCAAAATCACCGAGTACGCAAAGATATTATTATTACTATCAGCATTGTTAGTATTATTACCATTATTATTATTATCATTATTATTATTACTACAAGGCAGCTAAGAAGTCGCAGCTGTTTGTCACTGTAAGACATATTTGCTTGTACCACTTATATGTATACGGGTTTTATGTACGTTCTCCGGCTCTTTCGGGCTAACTTCTCTCCTCTTCCTTCTCCTCTCAGTCGCCTATCCATGTTACGAATCCACATGGTGAGGTACTCAGTTCATGTATTGAGCAATCGCCAATAAGCGACTCTTTTAAATGTGTTATTTCGCCAAGCTCTCCATTCTGGTGAATCCACATTTACAAGACGTGTAAAAACGGCAACCCTACAAAAGCATTCGTTTCGATGAAGACTTTCATTGCCCCAGTCATTGTAACTCGCCTCCCAATCCAACAGAGTCGAACCGAGCTCTGGTGGTTGCTGTTCTAACTCCTTAGTTTATACAGCTTTTGATTCTATATGATTTCGCTTGCAGTGAGCGTTAAATCCATGCAAGTTATAACACAAGTAGATTTGGAAAACCGTTTTAAGACATTTGCTTCACTGTGAACTCGAAATTCTAAAAATTCAGCTTATTGGCTCGATCATTTCAGGAAATGATAAAAAATTAGTTTAATTTTTGACTTGGATTAATAAGCTGAGATAATTTCATGTTTGAATTTCCATCTAAACCTTTTCATTTCTCCTTATTGTGCAAAAAACGCATAATAAACTAAGCCTGACTGAAAGTGCCACCGCTCAATTTTTCCCGCCTTGGTGCTAAAAAAAGACACATTCAGAATTCAGATTCATAGCTTCGCGTAAATGTAGTGCGAAAGTACGCAAATAATAACGTTGCCGGCTTAGGGTACAGATCTACAAATAAACATGAACTTTTTGATTTTGTAGCCGGGTGTTGCGTAGGCTACCTAGAATTAACAGAAGAGATAATAGACTATTTGCGCCAAACTTTGTTTCTGTGGCCTTTGTAATTATGAGCTCTGACTGCTTCACTTCCTGAGCTATAAGTATAGCTACAAAAACGCCAGGTTATATTCATCGTAGTGA